CGCGGGCGGCGCCGTCGGCGCGTGACATCAACGCGCCGCGCCGAGGGGCGCGGGGCGTGACGTACATATCGCGCGCCGCCACGCAGGGCGGAGGGGCGGGGCCGAGCGAGGCAGCTCTCTCCTCCCTCCTCCCGCTCGGGAGGGGAAGGGGCGGGGCCACCGCCTATATAAAGGGACAGAGGGGGCGGGGCTTGCTGAGGGCTAATGTGGGGGTGTTCTTGTGGGGGGTCTGCCTTGTGCCCTCTGGCATAGCTGAGCCTTGATGCTGACCTCTGACCCCTGCCATAGCTGAGCCCCCTCCCAGTGCAAACCTCTGACCCCTGGCATAGCAGAGCTCCCAGTGCAAATCTCTGACCTCTGGCATATCTGAGCCCTAAGTGGAGACCTTTGACCTCTGACCCCTGGAATACCTGAGCCCTCAGTGCAAATCTCTGACCTCTGACCTAGCAGAGTCCCCAGTGCAGGCCTTTGAGGGGCTCTGAACCAGTCCCAAGGGTCATGGCCCCTCCATGGTCCCCCACACAAGCGTGGCCTCAAGGGCCATGGCAAAGCCGCAGCCGCAGGCCTTGTGTCCCACCAAAGGTCCGTTGCGTGGGTCCCTTGCCACACGGCAGCACCTGCCTTGCTGCCACGGGATGCCCCGTGCGCCCGGGCAGGCTTGAAGCTGGCCTGCCTGTTGGTGTATCTAGTCGAGCAGGGGATGAAGCAATGAGAGCAATGGCAGTGAGGTCTTTTGCACACACACCCACATGTGCGCACTCTAGACGAAACACAACTCTTGGGACACGTCAATTCCCGTTCCCACCTCCATAAGTAGAGCCAAAGTTTGTCTGTTATGTGCTGAGCTGATAGAAGCCAGGTGGACATTTTGCCGGTGTCATGGCGCTTTGTGAGTTTCGGCTGGTACGAAAGACCCCTGTGTCTTGGGGTCCGATGTGGACGACACGGAGAGAGTCCAGAGAAGGCCACCCGCATGGTCCGGGGACAACAGGGCAGATCCTACAATGAGAGACTGCGGGACCTGAACCTGTTCAGCCTTCACAAGAGAAGGCTGAGGGGGGACGTGGTGACCGTCTATAAACTCACTAGGGGGGGACCAGAAGGGTTTGGGAGAGACCTTGTTTCCCCTGGCACCGCCCTGGCGCAACAAGGAATAACGGCCACAAGTCGTTGGAGAGGAGGTTTAGATTAGACACCCGTAAGAACCACTTCACGGTCCGGGCGGCTAGGATCTGGAACCAACTTCCAAGGGAAGTGGTGCTGGTTCCTACCCTGGGGGTCTTTAAGAAGAGGCTTGATGCCTACCTGGCTGGAGTCATTTGAGCCCAGTTTTTTCTCCTGCCCAGGCGGGGGGTCGGACTTGAAGATCTACAAGGTCCCTTCTGACCCCACATCTATGATTCTATGATTTCAGCTGAGCTGCAGCGAGCATAGAGCAGTGATGATTTGCTGCTGGGCGCATGCTTCGAGCAGCAGCTGCTTGATGATGACTGTGACATATTGCCATATTACTTGGGGATGACCTGGCTGACATTTCACGTTGGAAGCTTCTTTGTATTTGCACCAGAGACTTCAGTGTGATGTGTTTTATGAGCATATCTCGGACTGCCGTTGAATGATCTGACTCGCATACAGACAGCACTGTAACACCATACGCGAGTCTGTACAGGGCGGCTGCTTTAAAACTAAGGTGTGCTTGCTACGGATGTGCAAAATCTCCATCGTGTTAAAATCAGTGCGCTGTTTCAAGTCTTAAGTGTACAGCTTTCTGATCTCCTTCATGCATCGGGATTTGCTGTTCATTCTGCATTGTGTGCACACAGCAATGCGGCGTCTTTTTAGTCACCCTGATATTGATCCATATTTTTAAAAAATTGCCTTCAGTTTGGTTATTTATTTCTTAGACACATTCTGCAAGAAGACTTCAGAGAGCTGCATTAGGCCATAATAAATAAAAATTACCCATTAAAAATGGTCTTTTCTGGTGCTGCTCTGCGGTTAATTGTCATAGATCATCGAAGTGGATCTCAGGGCAGTTTGAACTGGCTCAGTTTGCTGAATCTGAAGACTCCACTGGGTGACACGTTGGTAATGTCTTGCAATGACTGAGTTTGAGGAAAAGATGCAGGTGTCTAGCCCAAGTTGGTAGGGCAGGGCTTTTGCTTCTGGCCCAGGAAGCAAAGGGCTTCACAACACATTCCTTGGAGAGAGTTTGAGAGAGCGAGCGCTAGGCAAGCATTGCTATTTAACCTGTCCATTACAGCAGGCTCTGGAACCAGATGCCTTTACAACAGAGGTGGTAAAGGCAAGCTGCCAAGTCTGGATTTGCAAGAAAGAAGCAATTACTTGTCCAAAGAAGATGTCAGCCTGGAAAGCTTATTTCAACAAAAACTGGAAGCCAGCAAATTAACTGTAGCATCCATAAACGTCATTCTTAGAAGGCCTGACTGTATTAGTCACCTGCTGAGCCAAAGCCAAACATGACTAGCAAGGAATACGCAGAGAAAATTCAAGCTATTTAGCCCAGGGACATTATCATCTCATGTGAGGCACTGGGTGTGTGATCCACCAGGTCACTCGTTTCATGTTTACCCACTTTTAACCATTTGGGTTTTTAACACACATTGATTTAAATTGGTTTTTCCGTGCCGAGGTATGTTGTTTTTCAAATTAAAGTCGGTGCCCCCCCAGTTAAAACAACCCAGATCTTTGCTCTTTTTGGTAGGTGTTTGGAGATAAAAACCATTCTCCATTATGCCAGCTGGGCACACAGCTCAGATGTCCCAGAGACAGCAACTTGTTGCATTCAAGATTGGAAAGAAATGACTGGAGCCAAGTGTCTGGTGGCTATCAGGTGCAGGGTCCATGCTAGCATATGCATGCTGTTTTCTAGTAAACCATCGTCCCAATTCAGGGGAGCTTGAACTCAGCCGTGGGCAGTCTGGAGCACTCACAGGCTATTTCAAAGTCATCCTCCGGTGAGGGATTTGTGCCCTAATTATTATGCAGACTGCTACTGGAAGAAGAGAGGTGAATGGGCCCGAGCAATGGAGGGGGGAGAAGAGGAGGGGAAAGTGGGATGAGGCAGCAAAGACATGGTCATGCCGAAAGGTCATCCCAGGCTGAACAACCTGTTGGGCCAGGGCGGTTAAGACGTGCTCCATTCTCTGGCCAGCACCCCACATGGCTGGCATCACAGCTGCCTTTCCCTCTCCATCCTGCATCCATAGGGGAAGCCTCTGGCACCCTTTTGGAGCAGGGCTTGAACTCATGCCTCTGCAGCTTTGGCAAGATGCCTTAACAGCTCTGCCAATGCAGCCCAGCTAAGAGATGTGCAGGGGCCAAAACCTGTGACAGCAGCAAATGGCCTGCTTGCTGCAAAGCGGTCTCTCCCCCGTCTCGGCAGCCACTCCGATGGACACAAACCCCTTGTGTTTCTTGACTTCCCTTCCTCTGCTTTGTATTCAGCCAGGTGCTTTGGCGTGTGCTGCCCAGGTGCCTTAGGCGCTTGCTGAATGGGGGACCTGAGTGGTTTTCATCCGTTCCCAGTCAAACCCAAACCTCTCACTGTTGGCCTGGAGCTCACAGCTCTTGGCCTCATGCCTCTCTTGGTTAAAGCTCTGGCACTTGTCTGCCCTGCAGCTGTGCCCTCCGTACCTCCTCCTCGCTGCACGGATCTGGGCCGTGCCGGGATGCTGTCACTAGCCTTTTAGCCTTGTGGATGCAAGTCCTGGGCAGCACATTGCATTGTCCTTCCCCCCACACCCCTTCTTCCATCAAACTCCTGGAGTTTCCTTGGCAACCCCCTAACACAAATCCTGACTGTAAAAAAGCAGGATGAAGCAAGGACAAAGGGCAAGCTCTGGGAGTCCTTGTGCCCAGACAGCAGCGAGAGGAAAAAAGGCCTCTTCCCTTTAATCAACACCCAGGGCTGCTGCCTTTTGCTGTCCCCTCTGTTCCCATGGCAGACCACACTAAAGGAGCCCCCAGCCTGGTTTGCTCACGGAAAGCCGGGAGGCCGCCGCGCTCCTCAGTCTCCCAGCTGTTGCCATCCCAGACGGCGCGACTTGCTCTCACTCCGGACTTTGGGATTTGCGCTGGTGGAAAGCGATGGCGAAGAGCAGCCCGAGGCACTGCCTGCGCCTGCTGTCCGGGTGGCTGGTGCTGTTCAGCTTTGTGGTGGTGGAGGTCTCATCCATCGAGACAGGTACCGCGGGCTTTCCAGGACCCTTCCTTTGCTCTCGCATCGGGGCCAGAGTTCAAAACCTGTAGGTTGTTTCTACCAGAAGCTTCCTGGAAGTTGAGGGTACTTTTGGGTATTTTTCCAGCACCCTTCATTCATACGGGTGCCTAAAGGGGGTGAATAGGATATGGGCTGAACGGAGAAGTTACTGCTTTGCTGCACTAAAAGGTAGCATGCTTCACATGGGCAAAGAGGAGACAACATAGCTATGGGTGGCAGTGGTCACATGTACCGGCCTCGCTGTGTGCCAGCTGTGGTTTTCCAGCTCAGGATTCGCTTTAGGCACATGCTTTTCTGCTTGTGCCTTCTCTGTCCCCAAATGCATACAAGTGAAACCAAGGCTCAGGGAGAGCGTGACAGTGGGGAGCTCATGGGGGGCATTGGTCCATCAGCTCCCGTGCTGAGGCTGTTGCAGTGGCCTGGATGGGGGGAAATAAAAGGCAAGTGACTCCCATCTTTGTTCCTGCCCAAAGCCAGAAGGCAGGGCCCGGCCAGTGGAGGTGCAGGGTCTGGACTACCCAGCACTGGATAGTGATCCCCACGGGCTCTTCCTCCACAGTGAGCCTGGTGGATTTCTGTGGCCAGACGCTCCAGGACCACGGCATGATTGTCACCTCTCACCGGGACTCGCGGCGCTATTACTTCGTGGCCGTGGGCACCGATTGCCACCTGGTCATGCAGGCCGCGGCCCCCCGCGACAAGGTCCAGTTCCAGTTCCGGTTCTTCCTGGTGTACAGCCTTCTGCGCCTGCCCCTGCCTGGCGGCCCCGCACCGAGCACCACCGCCACCCTGCCACCCCTGGGCAGCCCGAGGCCACCGCAGACCCCGCCGGGGGGCGACCGGGAGCCACCCGACCCCTGCCATGCCGGCTCCTACGTGCAGTTCTACGACGGCCGGGGACGGGCGGCCGAGCCCCTGGGGCGCCCGCTGTGCGGGAAGAGCATCCCTCGGCCTGTCCTGTCCACCGGGAACTTCCTGACGCTGCGCCTGGTGACGCGGGGCCAGCAGCCACGCGTGGACTTTGTGGGCGACTTCACGTCCTTCCGGCTGGGTAAGGGGCCTCGGCTGTGTCTGGGCAGAGCTCCCCACCAGCAGCATGGGCTAGTAGTTAGGCTGCAAGTCAGGACTCCTGGGCTCTGTCCTCATCTCGGCCAAGAGGGTCCAGCAGGTTAGAACGAGGGAGCGGAGGCCAGGACACCTGGGTCTATTGTGGGGTGGGTGCCAGGACACACGGGCTCTACCTCCAAGCTTGGGAGGGGAACGAGTCCCAGCAGTTAGAGCAGAAAGCTGGAAGTTGAGATGCCTCGGATGTGCTTTTGGCTGGGGGGAAAAGGTAGTGGGGGAGAACAGTCAGGACTCCTGGGTCCCATTCCTAGCCTCACGTGTCCATGGGAGGTGGGGTCCTGCCCCGGGCGAGGGCAGCCAGGGTGCATTGCTGCCATGCCTGTTGCAGGCTTCAACATGTCGGGGTGCGGCCAGGAGCCCTATTTCCCCTGCCGCAATGGCAAGTGCATCCCCCAGAGCCTGGTGTGCGACAGCGCCGGTGTTGACAACTGCGGGGACGGCTCCGACCAGGCTGCCCGCCCCCCGGCCAGCTGCAAAGGTCTGTGCAGACTGCGGGCACTGTGGGAGGGTGCAGGGGCTGAAGTGTGGGCCTGATCCTGTGGGCGTGCTAAAGGCGGGGAGACGAGGCAATGGCTTGATGCTGGGCAGGGCTTGGCTCAGCCAGGGGAGGGTGAGCATGGCACGAGGGCACATGGTCTGTGAACCAGGGCTGCAGCTCCGGCCTTTTTCCCTCTGCCCGCCCCAGGTCCGGCCCCCACCGCAGCACCTCTCCAGACTGCCGGGGCCCTGGCAGCCAGCTCCCCTTCCAGCTGCGGGAGGCCAGAGAAGAGCCAGTCCCCACCCCGGGACACCAACCTCCAGGAGGACGCTGCTGCAGGTACCTCTCATGGGGGGCAGCCTGCCCCCGGCGCCAGGCTGCACGGGTGCAGAGCAGGGGGTAGAGGTCTGCAGAGCCCCCAGCACCCATGCAGGTGCTCAGCAGATGGTTTTTCCTGCCAGCAGCTAATTGTAGAAGCATAGACTATGAGGGTGGGAAGGGAGCTCAGGAGGGCACATCCAGTCCAACCCCTGCTCCAAGGAGGACCAGCCCCAAAACTTCCAAGGATGGAGATGCCACCACCTCTCTGGGTATCTCACTGTTCCCGTGCTTTACTACCCATCCTAATATCCAACCTGAAATTGCTGCAACTGGAGGCCGTTGCTCCTTGTTCCAGTCACGTCCAGCCTGTGCCACTCCTCTGCACTGGGTCCCTGGTGCCCTCCTTGGGTCACAGCCCCAAAATGCACTCCGGCACCTCTGGGACAATGCCCTTCTCCAGGCAGCACTTCATGCCCCCCCACCTTTAAATAACCCCAGACCTTGAGGTTAAACAGACCCAAACCAAAGCAAACCCAGCCCCGAGCTTCCTGCACAGCGCTCCCTCCTTCCTTCTGGGTCTGGCCCAATTGAGCCGTAGTGTCAGGCTGTGGCTTGTAAGGTGCTTTTTCCTCCCCTTCCCTTGCTAAGGCTGCCTGTGGGCACCTTTCTCTCTGCAAGCCATCTCCTCCAGGCCCCAGAGGCTGCTCCCTGGGGCTGGGGGTGATGGAGACCCCTGGCCTCCTGGTGACTGTGCCCCCTTCCCCTGCAGGTGGGCGGCTGGCTCTGCCGGCCCTCTCGGCGCTGCTGGGGGCTGCTGCGGGTGCTGGTCTCCTGCTCTGGTGCTGCTGCAGCCCTGGCTGGCTCGTCTGGAGACTCGGCGCCTGCCGCTTCCTGCCCGGATGCAACTCAGCCTGCGCCGCCTGCCAGCTCTGCCCGCGCAGCTGCGCCCGCCGTGGCAAGGTGGCCCCACGCCACCTGCCCGCCTGACCCCTCTGCAGCCAGGCCCTGCCCTTCAGCCCCTCTCTGCGGGGCGTGAGCCCTGCTGGGGCTGGGGACACCAGGCATTGCCCTCAGCGCTTGCCACCCTCACACCCTCTCTGGCCGGCACGTGCTCTCTTCCCATCACACTCCCGGAGCCCGTGGTTCCCTGCTCCATCCCACACTGCCCCCCGGCCACTGTACCACCGGGCTGGCAGGGCTGAGGCGCCAGTGAGGGGCTCCAGTGTGGGGTCTCGGGCGAGCTGCCTCCTGCCACAGGGCCCTGGGGAAGGAGGGAGCTGGACCCCACCCAGGACGGTCTCCCCCAGCATGCAGGATCCTTGGCCAGCAGGGGGGACATGACCAGGGCTGGGCGCCTGTGGTGAATAAAGCAGCTGTGTCCAAAGTGTGTTTGCAAAGCAGACCCCGCGGTGCAGCAGGGAAGCCGGCACCCAGCAGCCACGTTTCCAGCATGCCGGGGCAGGGACAGCGTCCGCGAGTCGTTCGGCCAAGCCTGGGGGGTCCCAAGGCAGCCAAGCAGGGCACCCTCGCCTCGTGCCCTGGGGGCAGAGCGGCCCCTGGACCGGGTCACGCAGCACCAGGGAGGGGCGAGGTCCTGAGGAGTAGTGGTAGCTCCGCACCCCCACAGGGTCCCAGCCAGCACCGGGGCAAGGGCTGAAGGGCAAGCGGCGCGGGGGGCTCGTCTCCTAGCTGGATGCCCCCAGCTGGGCCAGGGTGCAAGGAGCCCACGGGATGGGCACTCCGGGGGGCGGGGTGCTGGGCAACCCCAAAGCTGGGGGTGGGAGCTATGAGACCGACACCTGGGGCAGAAAAGTCAGTCCCCCGTCCCGGTGCCTCCAATGCTGATGGTGGAAGCAGAGGCGGTGCAGGTCTGCGAGACGACGCTCGGTTGTTACTTGTCGTTTAATAGGAAGCCAACGAGACAGCATGGCCGGGCGCGACCTGAGCAGAGCGGGCCCCCAGCCCCCAATCCCCGCGGGGCCGTTTGTGCCAGGCACGGCTCGGCTCACACGGGCGGGAGGCCAGCACCTTCCCGGCCCCTTGGCGCACCCCAAAGCTGAGGCTGTGTTGCTGGCGTCTGGTCTCCAGGTCCCCCCGCATCACATCTCTTCTGCCCAGGGGCCAGGGTCTCCCCACTGCTTCGTCGGCTGGGCCATGTCTCATCATTGCAAGTCACTTGGAGGCACGAAGGAGCCTTCCGGGGGCATGAGGTTCCCGGGCCCGGGCTGTGCTGGGAGGCTGAGCCCGCGCCACACGCTTCCGAGCGAAGGGGAGGTCTGGAGGCGGCCGGAGCCAGAGGAGGCCCCGGGGAGGAGTGGTGGGGATTGTCCTGGATCGAGGAAGGCACGAAGGTGAGTGTGCAGTGCCCTGAGCCTGGCGTGTCTTTGGGCTGCGCTGGCCGGAGTGGGGCCGAGGGATGTCGGATGTCTCTGCCCAGCGCCTGTGCCCCCGGGAGGGGTGCGCTGCAGAAGCCTCCTTTCCTGCCTGCTGCCCCTGCCCCAGGTTGACGTGGAGCTGTCCAAGTTGCCAGGATTTGGCCTTCGTCTCCTGACACTGGACAGTTCAGGGGGTCCCGTCACACTCCTGTGGCAGCCCGGTGACGGCATGCAGCAAAGCCAGCTGGCCCCGCTCCCTCCTGCGTGCCACAGAGCAAGAGGGGGCAGGGGGAGGCTTCTCCATCCATGGGGCCCAGCCGTGGCCAAGTCGGTGGCCGGAGGCTCTGCGGGGCCCAGTGCGTCTGGGACACCGGGCGCTCGAGGGCGGCGGTGACGAACGCGGCCCCCTCCCCTGCTGGGGATTTGGTTTTTTTTTTTTTTTGGTAGCAGCAAAGCACCATTTTCCTCTTTGTTTCTTTACAAAAAAAATTCATCAGCATCAAAATAACAAGAACAGACGTCTGTGGGGGGCCGTGGCCCGGGGAGTGGCAGGCCGGGCCTACGAGGGGCACTCCCGGGTGTTGGTGCCGGCCTCCACGTGGTGCTGCAAGTCGATGGGCTGCGGCGGCTGCTGGCCCGGCCTCTCGTTCATCAGCACCAGGTTCTTGATGCAGCCCGTGATGCCCGAGGTGAACTTGCCCATGGTGAGAGTCTGCACGGCCGGAGCACCTCCTGCGGGCAATGGGTCAGTCAGCCCGCAGGGCTGGGCACAGGGGGGGAAACTGAGGCACCCAGAGGGGAAGGGATAGGGACACGCACTCACACATGCACAGGCACAAGCATACACTCTCACACAAACACAAGCACATGTGCTCACGCAAACATGCATGTACATACACAAATGTGTGCATACGCACATGCCTACACACGATGATCCATTGGGTCCCTTCCGACTCTACAATCTATGAATCTATGTACACACGCTCACGCAAACGCTCATGCACACACTTACAAATGCATACATAGGCACCCACATACATACACGCACACACACACTCACACAAAGGCACATGCACAGACACACACACAAGCACACAAATATGTACACATACACATGCACATGCACACAAACAGGTGTTGTGTGCCCTGCTCCCCATGCAGCCGCTCCGGCCTCACCGATGTATACGTTGCCCTTGGTGTTCACCATGATGTTGTTGCCGGGCGACTCTCCGCCCACCGGCTCCTCTCCGTCCACCTGCAGCAAGCCCTGCCGCCCTTCCCTGCAAGGGGGGGAAAGGGGAGCCCTGAGACCCTGGGCAAAGGGGGGGAAGAGGTGGTGCCTTCCCCTGACCCTGTGCCAGGCAGCTGAGGCCTGGCACCAAGCTCTCTTGGCACCCAGCTCCTGGCACATCCCGGTGGCCTGAGCCCCGTGCCAGTCCCTTACCGCACAGCCGTCACTTTGTGCCACTCGCCATCATTGATGGGGTCATCAGAGATGATGTTGGCCTCACCGCTACCCAGCTGGTAGCTGCAGGGAGACACCGGGAGGGTTAGTGTGGCCCATGGGGCTGCCCCTGCCCAGAGCCAGGGCGGAGGGGAGCCAGGATAGGGAGTGAAGCTGGGGGCTTTGCTGGGGTAGCCTCGGGGGCTGGGGCCTGAGTGGGTCCCTGGAGATGGGCACAGAGTGGAGGTCAGGGCACTGCTCACCTGAACACCAGGTGCCCGTTTTTGAGGCCGAGGCTGATGAAGTCCTTGGCTTTGCCGCTCTCCCCTTCCTCCTGCCAGTGAGAGAAGCATGCTGAGATTGGTCTGACCCTGGCCTGGTGCCGCCTCCCCCCCACGTGTCCATGACAGTCAGGCTCAGAGCACGTGCGTGTGTATGCACACATGCATGCAGGAGCGGATCCCATGAGCGCGCATGGGAAGGAGCGACCTCGGGGCCGCCTCCATGCAGAGGAGCCACCCTCAGCCAGCAGCAGGTGCTGGATGTGCTTGTGGCATCTGGTCTGGGGGCTGAGAGAGGAGTGGGGCACCGTGCCGGGACAGTGGCACGTGGCATGGTCCCAGGAGCAGTCCTGTGCTGCCCCTTGCCTGCAGCCTGAGCCAGCCGGCCTGGCACGGCTCGGTAAATACCTCATTAGTAGCATGCAGGTCGAAAGCAGGCTCCCCGGCTACCTGGAGAAGAAACGGGCACAGGGCAGTTATGCAGCCACAGCATCAAAGCTGGAGTGGGGAGGACGGAGCGGCGCGGGGGGCATGTTAGTCCAGGTCCCAGGCCAGAGCCAGGCAGCGGAGGTAGGCTTCATGCAGGCAGAGGCCAGTGGGACACGTGGCAGCTCTCCCACCCCAGCCTGGCCATGCAATGCGGGAGGGAGCAGCCCGCGCAGGCAGTCCCATGTGTGCAGGGGCCCTGCTCACGGCCCAGCCTTGCTGCGGCAGACACCAATAGCCTGCTCCACGTGCACGATGCTGCTGCTTTTCTGTGCCAGCCGGGCTCCAGGCAAGCAGTACCCTCACCCCCTAAGCCCCTCTGAAGCCAGCTCTGCACCCCTGAGAGCCCTGTTTTAGCAGGGAAGTCCTTGCCTGCATCCACCAACCCGCCTTGCCCCCCCTGCTCGCTGGCTCCTAATGCCAGACTCATGCCCAGCTCTCCCTCAGCTCCCTTGTGCCAGCAAAGCCAGTCCCGGCTGCTGGGGCAGGCCAAGCCTTTCTGGCTCCTGTCTCGGCCCCGCTGCAGAGGGTGCTGGCTCCCAGCACCAGCACATGGCACTGAGCCTGCCCTGGCTCAGGCCATCATGGACTCACCACACCCTGCCAGAGGACCACGCCATTGGGAGAGGTGGTGCGCACTTCCAGCTCGATGGTCTCCGGTGCCTCGGGGCGGCTGCAACGAGACAAGGCTGCGATTAGATGTTGCCGGTGTGGGACAGACCCCAGGCCCCAGAGCCGTGCTCGCCACGCCTGCTGCAGAGAGCCTCACCCTCCCCAGATGCCACCCGCTCCTGGGCTGGGACCCCGCAGCCTGGCTCTGCCTAGGGCTCCCTGGCCTCTGCTCACTGCACGGGGGGAACCCTTCCTGCACCCGCGCCCGTCGTGGCTGGCCAAGGAAGCCAGACTGCAATGCAGTGAGCACCTCTCCTCCTCCCCAGGCTCCTGGTGCCCACTCACCTCCTGGGGAACAGGTGTCTGGGAAGCGCAAGGTAGCCGCCATCATAGAAATAGGCTCCATATTGGCCCGGGGCATCTGCAGGAGGAGAGGAGGCGGTCAGGGGGTACAGGGCAGGTGGCGTGGGAGGGCACAGCAGTAGGTGTGGGATGGCAGGCCAGGGGAATCCAGGGGAGTGGGATGGGGGCTGCTGCTGCTGGGGCCAGGCACGTGGGTGGGATCCGCAGGATGCTGGCTCCAGGAGCTTGACCATGGGGCTCAGAGAAGGGGGAGGCCAGGCTCTGTGCCATGGGAAAGCGGGTACTGTACCGTTGCCCCCACTGCCCTCGGGGAGCCACTCCCGGTCCAGCTTCTGCAGCGCCAGGCCTGCATGGGCAAGAGATGGAGACGTGTGTTAGGGGTGGTGTGGGCCATCCTGGGGGGGCCCGTGGGCACAGTGTGGGGTGGCGGAGCAGGGGCCCTTGCCTGCGGGTGCCCTTCCTCATGGGGCTCACTGCTAGCTGACAGGCCGCCCCCCAGCCCCAGCCTGTAAGACATGGTCCCCTCAGCCACACCTCCCCTGACAGTCCCTACCCAGGTGCCTACTGCACCCAACGCCCCAGACACCCTCTCCCACCTACTCCAGCTCCTGCAGTCCTCTGGGGCTGAATCCGCCCCAGCGAACACCCACGGGCACTGCCCCCCACCTCACTGCCCACAGCCCTTGTGCCCTGGCACCTACTCTGCTCGCAGTACGTCCCCACGAAGCCAGCTGGGCATAGGCACCGGCTTGCCTTGCACGTCCCACCGTTCAGGCAGGGGTTGCCCAGCAGGCACGGGTCGTCGGCCAGCTCGCAGCGGTCACCTGTGAGGAGAGGCTGGCTGAGCCCCGGGCCACTGCGCCGGCTCGCGAAACATGTGGGCAGATGTACACGCACGCACAGGTATATGCACAAACCACACGTGCACACACATATAGGCACATGCACACCTGGACACGCATGCATACACGTATGCACAAGTGTATGCACACAGACACACACATGCACACACACAGGCACATGCGCACAGACACACCCACACACATACATGTATGAACAAAATATGCATACATGCATGCACACCCATGCGCGCACACACACAAATGTGTGTATACGGACACATACATACATGCACCCCCCCGACCCACATACGCACAAGTCTATGCATACAGGCAAGCACACACCCACGCACAAATATATGCATACAGGCATGCACACATACGTACATACATGCACGCACAGGCACATACAGATGCATGCACACATACACATAACGTGCACACACACACACACACACGCACAGGCACACGCTTAGGTACACACTGCCTCTGCAGCACGCCCCCAGCCTGGGTTGCATCCAGCCCTCCTGGCACCAAGCCCCTGCCATGGGGCAGTCGCACCCTGACCAGGTCTCAGAGCAGTGGTCTACAAGGGGGGCCCCAACCCAGCCCCCGCAGCCAGGAGGGCCCCAAGCTGCTCTGGTGATGCCGGCACAGCCTGCCGCGCGCACCCGGGTCCCATGCTCACCGTGAAAGCCGTCCTGGCACAGGCACTGGAACTCGTACTCGCCGGTGGGCAGGCACTTGGCACCGTGCAGACAGGGCCGGCGGTCGCAGGGCGAGCTGTCGTAGCACTGCGCCACGCTCCGGCTCTCCTGGAAGCTGTACGAGATGTCCACCCTCTTCCCGTTGATGGACACCTGTGGGGCAGGGGTGCCACGTCACCCACACCTGGGCCTCAGCCAGACAGACCGCGAGTCCCTTGGCCTGTCCGGGGCCAGGGCCCAGGACTGGGGCAAGAACCCACGTACCAGGCTCCCAGCCCCAGCCGGGAGGAGAGGGACCTGCCCCATCGGGCACCAAATGCCCACGTCCACGCTGGAAGTGGAACCCGGGAGTCTGTGCTCCCCACAGTCACCCCACTCCCCTCCCAGAGCCGGGGGCCGAACCCAAGAGTCTGGGGCCCTCACTGTCCCCGCAGAGTGCCTGTCCCTCGGAGGGCAGGGGCCAGCCTCACCTCGCCCACGCAGCCGTGGAAGTGGGCGCTGACATTGGCGGCCACAGGCAGCACCACAGACGGGTCCACCCCACCCAGGAACATGGGCGTGCGCAGGTTGAGGCCTTGGCTCTTGCCCGGTGATGACCGCTTCACCGGCCGGCCGCTGTCCACCACGAGGGTGCCGTCCTTACTGCTGCGCTCTGCCGAGACCCGGTGCCAGCGGCCCAGGGCGAGGGGCTCCGTGCTCTGCAGCACGGCCATGCCTACGAGAGAGAGTGCAGGGGGAGACGTGCCCGGCTCAGGCCTGCCTGAGCCCTGGCACCCCTCACGGCAGCTGGCACGCTCAGGGCCATGTGCTGTGCCCGGTCAGCTCCCTGCACTGTGGCCACAGCAGCCAGGGCACCAAGGAGAGACCTGTGAGCGGGCATCCAGGGGCACTGTGTGCCAGGGAGAAATGGAGCCGGATCCATGCCAGAGGGCATGGAGGGCTAGCTCCCTCTGCCTTCTGCCCCCATCTGCCGCAGGACACTGGACCTCACGGACCTGGGGTCTGACCCATCTGGGGCAGTTTTTATGAGGGTGGTACCGAGCTACAGAGCATTCCCTGCTCCAGACAGCAGGTGCGATGGGCACGCTGGGTCTGGGCATCTGGGGCGCGAAGCTCTTGTTGGCTGGCATGCACCGTCCCGGCTGTGCAGGCTGCGCCCTACCTGAGCCCAGCTCGTAGAGAAACTGCAGGTGCCCGGCAGCCATGGCAAGCGAGACGAAGTCTTCCACGGGGCCGCCCTTGCCCGCGCTGAAGAAGATGAGGCCGTCGGGCGACAGTGGCTTGAACTCGGCATCCACCCGCAGCTCGTAGTGGATGTTGGTGAGGGGCGGGTACGAGATGAAGGCGTCGCGCCCGTTGAAGAAGGGGGTGGTCACCATGACCCCTGTGGGCACGGGGAAGGAGGGTGGTTACCTGAGCGGCCCCGCTCCGCCCCGGCTGCCCGCACCGGCCCTGCACTCACCTTCCATGCACTTCTCGCCTGTCTTGCCCAGGTGGCAGCGGCAGGTGTAGCCCTGCCCATCCGCTCGGTTAATGCAGGTGGCGTCCGGTCCGCAGGCCTCTGCGGGGGGAGACGGTGCCATTTATTATCAAGCTGCTGCTCTGGGCGTGGGGTTGACTTTGGGCTGTCCCATGGGAGGGGATCCTGCAGCCCAGGGTGGAGGCAATTCTCCACCCAGCCCCAAGCCTAGGCCGGAGACCTGGCCCCCCGGCAGGGCTCGGTACAGCGGTGGAGCAGGGGTCGCCCGGTGGGGGTACCTGGGTGGCAGTGCAGGGCCTGCGAGTGCTCGCAGTTGCTGCCAGTGAAGCCCTGCGGGCAGTGGCAGACGTAGCTGCTGCTCTCCGAGTCCCTGCAGACACCGCCGTTCTGGGAAGGGCCGAGCAGAGGGTTAGAGGGTCTGTCTGGGGGGCACAGCCCCCACCGCCCCCGTGCCGGCGCATGTTACCTGGCATGGCTGGTCCTTGCAGGTGGGGCAGCTGGCGACACCGTGAGCTGGCAGGTCCAGGTCCTTGAAGATCACCTCTTCGCCCTGGATCAGCAGCTGGCGCACGCAGCCTGCGATGAGGGCAAACGGGGCTGGTGAGAGGCCCGGGAGCACCCCAAATGCATGCAGGTAGCGGGGCAGGGAGCGCGGGGGCCATGAACATGCGAGCGGTGCTGGGCAGGGCAATGCACAACCTCTCCCAGAGACATGCTGCCCTCACACGCATGCAGGCACACACAGGCTCGGCTGGGCCCTAGCATGTGGGCACCAGGGCTGGGCTGCACGGGGAATGCTCACCGATGAAACCGCTGCTGAGGCCGGTCTTGGCGATGGCGGCGTAGCTGGGATACCCGCCCAGGTACAGCTCCTCGTTCAGATCCAGCCCCTGGAACTTGCCCTGCATGCACAAAGAGGGTCAGGGCGGTGGCCTGAGGACCCTCCACGTCCCACTCGAGTTGCAGCAACAATGCCAGCCCGCCCCTGGGTCCCTGCTTCCCTGCAGGGCTCGGCTCCAGGCCTGCTGGGCGTCTTGGGGCAGTGCCAGGCCCCCTGCTCACCTGCGAGGTGCCGTTGACGGGTGGGTGGTCGTCCAGCACGAGGGAGCCCTGGGTGAGGTTGCGGTACAGCCGCACCGTGTGGAACTCCCCCAGCCGGATCGGCGTCGGGTGCCGGATCGTGGCCATGCCCGAGCCGGCATCGAACCTGCAATTTCAAGCCTGTCAGAGCTGCGGAGGGCAGCGGGGATGTTCTCCCTCCATCGCCTCGCCCCCACGCTCGGAGCCCAGCCCTGCGTGCACCGGGACCCCCCAGACAGCACCAGGAAGCAGGGTTTGGAGAGGCCTCGTGCTGGTTGGGGGGCTCCCCGGGCCCAGACCTTGCCCGTGGTGTGGGGACACGGCCAGGTCTCACCTGAATTCTGGCCGGCCGCCCACCAGGCCGAAGGACACGAAGTCGGCACCGGTGCTCTTCTTCTGCCCATTGTACAGCAGCATCCCTGCAAGAGCAGAGGGGTGAGCGTGGCGGCAGTGCCACGGCCAGGCACGGGGCCTGGGGGCAGGTGGCAGCTAGAAGCACCCTGGTCCCGGGGACCTGCAGGAGCCCTGGCTCGTGGGACCAGCTAGCAGAGGCTCCTGGGCCAGCCTGGGACCCACGCAGGGGTCTCTGCAGCTGGGGCCAGAGGAGCTGCTCCACCCGTGCAGCAGTAGTAGGCTTTTATCTTCTACCAGCGCAGGCAGACACACACCACACTCAGCCAGGTCTCCCCAAGCAGACCCAGCCCCACTGCTGATTAGGAGGCGACCCCCAGGCCAGCAGCCCGACGGCACGGCCCGGGCACCCCGTGCCTCGGTGTGATGTCACTGCCCGTGACATCGCCGGACGGAGGTTAAGCACAGCAAGACAGGGATGGCCCCAGCTGCAAGGAGTTAGGCACACAGGCATCCTGGCCCGTGCTGAGGCCTCGCTGGTCCTGGGCACTCGGTTAGTCTGGGCTGGGCTGGTGGATTTAACATGACCCCATGGGGTGCATGGGGCGTGGGCACACCCCTCCCCAAGCCAGGCCCCCGGGCAGCGGGGAAGAGGCGGCAGGCAGAGCTTACCTGAGTACAGAATGAGAGCTGGAGGGGAGAGGGGTATGGACAGAACAGATGGAGAAGGACAGACAGGTGGAGAGAGACAGAGCGGGGGGCCAAGACGGAGAGAAAGGAGGAAAATCAGAATGGGTGAGTGAGAAACACGGGCTCGATCCGCCTGCCTCTGAGAGGGGACGCTGCCACGGGCGGGGGGAGCTTGTGAGATGGGGGCTCAGAGGAGCCGGGGTCTCTCCCTCCCTCCTGGGGCACAGGCTGGTGGCCTGGATCCGTGCTGGGCAGAGGGTCTCCGCTTACCATCGGCGATGTCCGGCCGGAAGGTGATTTGGATCTCAAACTTCTTGTAGGCGTCCTTGATGGTGGGCAGGGGCAGGTAGGACTGGGGGCTCTGCGTGAAGTAGGGCACCACCCGCTCTGCAATTGGGGAGAGACAGTGAGCTGCAGCTAGGGCTGGTGCCCGTCGGGTTTGGGGCCCCGTTGCACGGGGCCGCTCTGTGCCCGGGGACCACGAGGTTACTTCCATGCCGACCTCCCCTGCCCCTGCCCCTGCCCCTGCCACGCAGACCAACGCGCTGGCCTGGCCACGACTGCACTAGCAGGGGCAGGATGGAGACGGACCCGGCTGCGAGCAGTTCCCCGGGAACAGCCATGCTGCAGCCGGCGGGGAGGGGAGAGCACGGCCATAGCTGCCAGCACCACGCTGGGTCCTGAGCACCTCCTAGAGTAGCTCCCTTGGCTGCACCCCACGGGCCTCAGCCGGCTTGGCAGCGACCTTGCTGCCCTTGGCTGGGAGGGCGGTATCCATTGCGTGTGTGGGAGCACGGCTGGGGAGGGGTGCGGAGGAGGGGGCGAGGGCCGTGTCCCAGTCGGCTCCAGGGGCTCACGCATCGCCCCAGTGCGCTCACCTTGGACCTTGAGCATGGAGATGGCCGTCACCTTCCCCTGCCGGTTGGAGGCCGAGCAGATGTAGACCCCCGCGTCTTCCGGCTTGACGGAGGGGATGGTCAAGATATTGCTCTCCAGCCGGACGCCTTTGGGGAGGTCTCCCTGCAGCTGAAACCCAACACCGGAGCAGGACATTGTCACCACCCCAGAATGACTGACCGCGGTCCCCGCGGACAAGGCGAAGGCTGCCACCGTGTCTCTACAAACCCAACTCCTTCTACCCTCCATCTCTCCCCTACCCCGCTGCCCCTGTGCCCAGCCCGTGCCATCTGGCCTGGGGACAAACCTTGCTGGCACCTTCTCTGGGAGGTTGTGCACTTACCTTGGTCCACTTGATATCTGGGATGGGGAAGCCAGTAGCCAGGCAGGGGAACACGACTGTGGACCCCACGGCCACCTCCTTCATCTCCGGCTGGGCGGCAATCTGGGGGACAGCTGCAGGGAGGGAATGGCGCTCTTCAGGCCTTGTGGGGCGAGCAACCGTGCACCCCCCTCACCACATCACCAGGGCCTCTCTGCTTACACTGGACGTGGAGGATGACGTGAGACTGCACGGTGCCCACGTCGTTGGTGGCAGTGCAGCGGTACTGCCCTGCGTCCGACTGCTCCACCCGCTCGATCTTCACCGTCCCGCCACTGACGGCGATGTCGGGGCGCAGGCGGCCGCCCACCTTGCTCCAGGTGACGTGTGGCTTGGGGTCCCCAATGGCCAGGCACTCGAACTCCACCGCGCTGCCCATCAGCACCGTCTGCACCAAGGTGCGGATGTTGATCATCACCTTGGGCAGCGCTGCGGGGGAGAAGGCAGAGCGGTGAGCGGGCGGCCGAATCTCCACGCGGCCCCAGGGAGCAGGGTCAGCCTCCTGGGGCCGGGCCCGGGCCCCCACTTACCCTGGATCACCAGCTTGGCACTGTGTTGGGCCTCCCCGGAGGGGCTGGTGGCCCGGCAGGTGTACACACCCTGGCAACTGCGGTCCAAATTCGGGATCCTGCAGAGAAACAGCAAGGGAACGGGCTGGGTCCTGTGCACCTAGCTGCCGGCCCTTCACCCCATGGCCATGCCACGCTGCCAGATCACTGGCGTTGCAAAGAGTGGTGACCCCCCATTGCTCAGTGCCCCTGCCAAGCCTCTGCCAGCCCCCGTCATGAACACAAGCCCACGGGACATCCCACCCCGAGGCAGCAGTCTTGCAGCTCCTTACCGTAGCACCCCGTTCGTCACGCTGTGGCTGGCCGGCAGCTCCCCGTCCTCCTTGAACCACTCGATCTGCGCCTGCGGGTCCCCAGTGATGGTGCAGGTGAACTCGGCCGTGCCCCCCACGCCCTTCGTGTCCACGCGTGGGGTCACGTGCACGGATGGGGGGCCCCTGGATACTGGTGGGGCAGCACCTCCTGTGGGGTAGAGACTCCAAAGCATCAGCCACGGACACCCACCCTGGGTGAGGGGATCTGCCCCAGGGCCGGTGTGCATTGCACTTGGCCATGGAGGTGCTCCCCACGAACACTCCTGCAGCACACAGCTTCTGCTCTGGGGCTGCTGCCATCCCTCAGGAGCCCAGGGCCCGGCTTGTTCCCCCAGGGCCTGGAAAGCGGCTCTCAGCTCTTGACTGCCAGCATGCAGCGTGACCCCCCCCAGCACCAGCATCCCCGCCCCTGCCTTGCTCTGCGTGTGTAGGCGTGTGCATGCATACGCACGTTTTTGCACATACAGGAGTGTGTGCGCATGTGCGCACGCATGAATTCATGCTTGCATGTGTGCATAAATGCACGTGTGCACCACGTGCCCACATAGGGATGTGAGTGCATATGTGCACGTGTGTCTATGTGCACGTGGGTATGTACATGTGTGTGAGGGGGCCGCAGGGGGAAAGCCGGAGGCAGCAGTGTCCTTCCAGCCCACCTCATGCCTGGGACAAGCAGGACATTTCCCTGGGGTCTGCTCATGTCTTGTGGGGGCTGGGCCTGGGAACGCCATCACTGCTGCTGCCTGGGGCTGCTGTTACGGTACGCTCACCCCCACTCTGGGGGTCCTGCCCCCCTGCCCCCTTCCCCATCCATTCTCCA